ATATATAATAATTGTCTTCCAGCATGATACCACTTTAACTACTGCACCTATTTTCAATATATTCACGCCATTTTCAGAACATCCTGACAGCGGATACAATGCCAGCGCCTGTCCTCCAACGAGTCTGGTTAGGTGACAATATTACGACGATAATGCTTACTGTCATGTGCTGCTTTATACAGTAGATAGTTGTAGAGATACATATTATATATCCAATATTAAATGCGTAGATCTAGACATAGGTAAGAATTACGGAGTAGCTAAAAATGAATATAATATTTTGGTAAATTTATATTATTTTCTGCATAAAAATAGTAATAATAATAATAAATATAATAGTTTTATTACATAGTTGTGATTTGGTCGAATTTCTTGATTCTATCTTGCTAAAGTATCACCAGATAGGTAGTAGTAGCAGGCATAGTAGAGCTTCCTAAATTGTGGATAAGTAAAAACATGACTTTCTAATCATTTAGACTTGTGAACAAGAGCAGCTTGTAGAGACAGTTCTGCTCTGATTTATTTTGTAAATTCAACTTTTCAGCAGTTTCATTTCACAAAATTTTTCATATTTCTAAAAGATTTCACAAAAAAAGCAAACAGGCAAATTTCTTATTTGATTTTGAAAGTTATTCTTGATAAATTTTGTTTTCTACTGCTTACTCGGTAAATTCTAGACAAGACAAAATCTATTCAAAAGTCTAATTGTACTCGAAAATATTAAGCTAATTTTAATTAAAATTACTTATCCTAGTCGGTACAATATAAGTTAAAATTACTTCATTTATATTGTAACCACTAGGATTGAAAGGAAAAGCTCTTATTCTATCAACTTTTCCATATTTTTTATATTTTAATAATACTATTATTATAGAATAAAATCAAATATATTTTCCCTTACATCGATTACATGCTTCGTTGATATACGAAAAAATCGAGATTTCTAATCAATATAGCAAATAATGAATCGAGTTGTCCGGGGCTAGTACTGTTTTATGAACGGTAATGCAACTGGGGTACGCCAGGGGCGAACAAAGCCTCCCGGGACTCGATGGCTTTTCAGAGAATTTCATGTACATATAACCTGCAATGTCGGTCCTGTGAGAGAACAAAGTCCATTAACTTGCAGCCTATGTCGCGCCGAAAGCTATTTTAATCAAACTCAATGTTTGTTTATGAAGTATCGTGTACAAGTATTATATGCTATCATAACCGTAATTTGTTATGATGTGGCTGTGGGAAAACGTGTGTGGTAAATCACAAATGATATTATATTATATTACATTGCAGAGTTTATAAATTTTATGACAGGATGTGATTCTATTCATATTCAGTTACCACTTGATATCAGGTTGTTTTCTATTACAGTTACATAAGAAGATAAAAATATGGCATATAGCAATGATAACAATATTTTTTAATCAACAACTTTAAAAACTTATTTAAGTAACATATGTCCAAATTGGTTGTAAACTTTTTGATTGCAATAAATTTTTATTTTATTTTTTAGTGATCATAATCCGACGCTGTAACAAACTTATTTGTAATTTAAAATAGAGTACTTTTGCTAGTATGTTCTTAAATAGAGTGCTGTGAAAGATCACGGAAGACGTCACTCTGTATGAGATTCAGTTCCTATTTACCTTTATTAATTTCGACTACAAATTTTAAAATCAGTTAAAAATGTATGGAAACGACGCCTAATATTAAGCTTTAAGCAACTACAGTCGATTTATAAAAACGTAATCTATGCAAGTATAAATGAAAAAAAGGACGTCTATAAATAGGCATATTTCTATAAAAATTGGTATTTAAATATTTTACACTCGTACATAAAAAGTATCGTTATAATGATTCAAAGACCGTCAAATCCTAAATAAAGTTGTTCTTGCAAGGTCTTTAGAGAAATTGGGGTCGTGCCATTTAAGAAATATTGCCTACAAAATTTATTTTTAAAATCTTACGAATTATTTAGTTTGATGAGCTGGGGCACGCGAAAAAAATTAAGCGTTTTTTGTATTCAAATTGTATTTGAGCTTTCTCATACCTAAATACTACATTTATTTTGAATAGCAAAATTATAAGTATTCATAAGTTAAGAAGCTTTAGCAGAGCCTTATTATAACATTACTAAAATATCCAGACAGGTTTATGAAGTATACACATACTATTTAAATTCTACGAAATAAACTTAACATAAGCATAGCAACATCTCATCTGAACTCGGAGCTAATTGTAGAACTAAGTATTAACAGTTGGTGAATATAAAATACAATTTTTAAATGATATCCAAAAACAAAATAATAAATACAATTGAAATACTCCTGTTCAATAATATACATATTTGTATGTACGTGAATCGAAATTATGACCTACGGAGGGTGTGTTTTACGATCACCACACCACAAAGTCAAGTTCAAGTACAGGTACGGCAAATGAAAATTATATTTAAGGTTTCCTCGTTAATAGTTTTCTTTATGAAACTCATTATCAAACACTTGTATTTAGGATAATAATATATTTAATATAAGGCGACCCACCCGCTTTTGTTTCGAATGGAATAACATATTTTCCTGCGATAAAATGGAAGTTATGTTTTATCGGAGAAAACTGCATTTAATGTCGTACAGTAGTTTTAGTTATGCTAGTACAAATATAACAAGCAGGCAAAAAATCACTTTAGTTCCTGCTGCAGATACTTTATTTAGGTTGTGATATTCAGAAATATTTTTTTAAATAATTGGAATAACAGACAAGCCAGCGATCTACCTGATGGTAGGCGGCAACAGTCACCTATAGTAAGACAGGCATCACGTTATCCTAAGACATATGTGATTCCACTCATTCCAGAGTACTTATCCTGTAATTGCACTCTCTAATCGCCGTGACACCGATTACAAAGCAATCTCCTTGGCGATTGAAATAGGTACCCTTGTAGAGGACGTTTTACAGTTTACCTCTGTTGATTATTATATGAATATATATATATAATACATCAGAGTACACTTTGATGCTCTCTGCTTAATAAAATGCTCTGCTCTCTCTGCTCAAAACAAAATAAATTGAAAATTCGCCTCTAGTGTGTGACAGTGCGATAATTTGAAATTCAGATTGTAAGCTTTGTGTGTAAAATAGGAAATTAATGGAAATTCTATTTTCGTTTACCTACGTACCTACATATAAATTTAGCATAATACAAAATTCTATATTTTGAATCACCAATTATTTTAACAATTCAAAAAATTATTTACAGCAAATACTTTATGGTGGTATTCTAATTTAGACTTCATTTATTTTATTATTTTACGATAAGCTTATTGCTAATTAACGATTTTCTCATGAACGAAATATGTATATAGGTACATAGAAAATATTCCAGCAGCATTCTTTCAATTTTTCTAGACACCGTTTTTTTATCTTTCAACTTCATCATGATCATTACAATGCTCATTGAAGAATCATTGTATTTTTGTATGATTTGAAGCAACAAAATATGTAATGATAGACCGAGACAGCATTTAACTTTAATGTTAGATACAATACACATAGGTACTTAACAGAAAATAACTACCTAGGAGATAGGCTTGAAAAGTTTAAATGTTTTTTTACTATTGAACTCTTTTATTCTCGATTCATACTACATATGTACTTACTTCATCTGAAAGAAACTTAAATAGCGCATTTTTCTCTGAATTGAATCAATCCTTTACACCGAAAAGCTAGTTTCATATAACCTGTGACGGTAGCAATCCTAGTTATCAATTTGTTTTAGGCAATATTAGTATCCAGAAGAGTAGACTTACAGCTTATGTAGTAGTTAACAGTTATTATAAAATACTACTAATTATTTGTTATGTTGAAATCAATTCAATCGACTATGACAATCACTGTTATAAAACAATGGTTATAATAATATACTCCGTGCACTATACTTAACTTATATCACACTGATATAAGTTCTTGGGGCTGGATCTGGGCGTCAGTGAGTTTAAAACGAGGCCCTAAAACTTGAGGTATATCGGAGTACTGAGGAGAGTCCTAATTCGCTTCCTTAGATCGCCCTGTGTATAGCAAATCAGAAACAACTTCCCATAGAATGTTTGCCAGGGAGATTTAGCCCTCACCACGATATTTTCTTTAATTTTAATGCCGCATGTATTGGTCATTATTGGTATATTTAAGTACAATTTGCAGGTTTGGAGTGGTATATAAAAAGCACGCCCCGACAGGCACCGGTGAATCTGTAAATCTGGGGCCAATTGTATTTATTGATAAAATAGAAAGCAGTGCACTGTTTATAATTAACTTTAATTTCAATTACATATGGTAATCCATTAGATTAAATCCTCAATCAATCGATAGAGTTACTGCTCTTTTTTTATTTCACGTGTCCTACCAATATCAATATATTTTATCTTACTCTTATACCTACGAACGTAGCCATATAATGTTCTCGTTTTTTATTGCATCAGTTTTCTATTACAAAGCATTACGTAACATTGTTTAAAAATTTACAAACAAGATTTCCATGGAGTTTTGATTAGCTCCTGAGGGATTCAAAAAAGGGAAATTTAAAATTAAAAGTTTTATCTCTTCACTTTATTACATGTAAAAACTTGAATACTCTGATGTCTTTGTGCAAGGGTATGTATAAAGTAATTTGCCCAGTAGTTTTATCATAATCTACATCAGTTTTGAACTCTGCTATCAGATGAGCTATTTAAAGAAGTAATTATATAAACTTTTAAAACTGCCGTCTTAAGTAACATCTGGTTTAGCGCTATTCTAAAGACTAGGCTGAATTCCCTCGCTGACTAGCCTATTGGTACGATGCTGCATCAACTCATTTGATTCTAAATAAAATTAAGACGGTGTATTGACCATACCGAACCATTTCGCCTTCATCAATGTAGCCATAGATCTCTAGTGTAATTTTTTAGCTTACGTAATAGAAAAATGTATAAACAAATATAGTGAGAAGTGTATTTTCTTTTTGATAGACCGCCAGTTTTACCACAAATGGGCACTGCTGACTGATCCGGACGACGTGACTGCAGGGGCCAAGGGCTACCTGAAATGTGACATCACTGTGATTGGGAAAGGAGACGCCGTCAAGGTTCCATCCAAAAGTGAGAAGGACGAAGATGATATTGAAGCGTATGTAACATATTGATTTTAATATTAGCCCTAACTTTGTTATCGAAGACTACTCGCACGTATAAATATTTTTCTAATTATTCTGAATCAATATTGTTATAAGGTAAGTATTTTAACTTAATAATTACTTATTTAGTAATTAAGGAGTACATTTAATATGTTACGAAAATAGTAACATATGTTCGTGTTTTCTACAATATCAGTCAATATGTTGATGTTTAATAAGTATAATGTTGGTCTCGAAAAGTACCTATTATATCACAAATATCAGCTGATTTGATGGGAGGTAGTAGGTCACATTGCTAGTAATGTAGTATTGCTGTTAATTATTGTTCCAATTTCTAATACATTGAACACAAACAATTTATTTGACCTCTCAGTGGTCAAGTACTCAAAAGATGAGTTAATGATGAGATGTGTTACACCTGCCAAGTTCTAATTTGCCGCCCCACAACTTGCCGCCCAGGGCATGGGCCCTGTGTTCCCTCTCCGTTCTTCCCTAGATCTGGATCAGTAGCGTGATATTATCGTAATATCATAGTGTCCGTAAAAAGTATATAAAACAAACAAAAAACGTATTTTTAAAAGTAGCTTGCTTATTCCCAGAGATAAGTGCATCAAAAAACTGTTTAGCGTGTTCATTTTAGTGTACATTCGATAGGAGGCACAAACTGGGCTATTATTTATATGAACGACAGACTGTAACATTATAAGTAACAACTCATATTACGTTATCCCTGAAACTCCAAGTAATATAACCATGTAAATGGATTTACAGAAAACGCTATGTGCGTCGTATTTCGTGATAATGGAGGTTCAAGCCATGAAAGTAAGTAGATGGGGTATAAAGAAATAGTCGTGGCATGGCTTATTCGGGTTTGCAATGTGGAAATCATGAGCCCCGCGGGATATATGGAGGTAGAAGTAATCTTATAACCGACTGTGTAATTGTATAGCGAATCGTAAAGATAATTATAGTATAATTTCGTTACACATAAATATGTAAACAATGTTAGTATAAAACTGACTGTATATGTATATAATGAAACTACACATATATCTATATTCCTAACCGGATATATTTTGAGTATAATTTATTCTATTTTTATTTAGGACCATATTTTTTTTATTGATTCTAAGTAAATTTCTAAGTAAATTTATGTTTTTTTTAGATTAATATTAAAAACAATTAAATGTAGTATTCCTGTATAAATTAAGTCTGTTATCACTAAATATCTATGCAAATAGCTTATTATTTCGTAGTCTTGATACAAATTAAGGCATACGTACGGATATACGTTCTATAATATTAAGGTATGTCTGTGAGCTTTGACTATAGAATAATTAGATAATAGTTAGCTATCTAACATCCTTCATACATATGAATACAATTGAAATTGGTAATTTAGATTACAAGAGCAATATCTGGCTGTCTAAGTTCTGAATTGTCTGCCAATTTTCATAGACAAATAGTATTCAGTATTTCTAAATGATGAACGTATCATCAAACAAGTTACACATAACATAACGTAAGATTCATCCCACAACGTAACATAGTCTCAACGTAAGCTGACGTTATACGAATGTACTACAAAACTGAATGTATTTAGTTCAGAATTTGTGTTATTTATTTATTTATCTTAATTCGGATTACATCCATATTGTGTTAGGAAACAACTTACAAACTATGTTAGTAACTTATAATATACAGATACAGAGCTATATACACTTAGTTCATATTATATTATTGTTATATTAGTTCAATACAAATAAAGATACAATTGTTTTTATTATACGAAGATCGAACTCAGGAGCATCGGAAAGGCATACAAAGTTTTTAAGTATATTAAAGTCAAGTTCACTTCTCAACACAACATAAACATAACTTTATGAACCATGAATAAAATTGTATATCGCATGCTGAGGTGAAATTCTGAAACAACGCACTATTAATATATGTCGTGTACTCATGCCATCAAACTTTATGTTGGTCTATGTTACACCGTTCACGGTTTATGTAGTGACTAAACGGATTATACTGTTAAGAAGTTATAGTCAATTATTGATCTCTTTCTATATAATTTTTTACTTATTGATATAGAACGGGAAAGCTATTTAATTAATATTACAGCTATATAGATACCATTACTTGACGTTATTGTTTATTCTTAGTATCTTCTTTTACAAATATCTAAACATAGTTATTTGCTTGCCTTTTTATACATATTATATATATTACATATCGATCGAGTAAAAAGGACGAAAAATTAATTGAAAATTAGGATGTATGTTTCGTAATATTTTCATCGTTTAGTGCTTACAAAGCAAGCTGACTGTTGGTTTGCAAGTGTGGAAAGTTGAACACAAAAATAAGTTGCAACAGTGGAAATTCTACATAGTCTACCTCTGGAACTTGTGTTAGAATATTATCATTATCATATTTACTATTTTATCACACAATAGAAATCAGAACATAGCCATTTCCATTACAGTTGCTTATACTACATTATATAATATACCACATGTATAACACAGATTTTTCAAACTGTCCTAGTCAAGATTATAGAAAAATGGAATGGAAAAATTTATGGACAATTATCGTCAAGCCATTAGAACTAGACTGCGTTATATTAAAGTTATATAGAAAATATATATGTTTTCCTTTTTGTTATGGATGAACTTAAAAAATGTGTATCTGATTTTTTATATTCTTTCGCCTATTTTAGTGCATTATTACGCATTTTAGAAAAATAAATACTGAGTTCTTCAATATAATTGCCAGTATAGAGTCGCTAGTAAATAATAACGATGCAATTGCACAAAAAAGTTGTCAGAGAACTGAAGTCCAAACATGAAGCACTACAGAACAGACGCAGCTCTAACAGTGCCCTAAAGGCAATGTTGTATTGAATACTGCGAGCATTGTATATTTCCTGAGTGTAGTCGACAGCCTGCTCATATTTGGCATCTGACAGACAGCTCTGTAGCTACATACAAGCTCTGTTTAATTTAAACTAGCCAAGGGGCAAGCAATTATGAATTTTCAATATAATGATTTTGATTCCCCCTCGACCTTTCAATATTTGTGAGACTCGCCCTCTTATAGTGTGGCTTCACATATTTAAATTTTTTACAACAAATTAAATAAAAACATCTTAATTCATGTATCCTTATGTCTATTACAGACTCTTCTGATATATGTAGAAATCTAGAAATGATTAAATTAATTAATTATTGAATTAATTTAATCATTTCTACAATTATTAAATAAAACGCTTTTTTTTAAGTAGATTTACTCTACCAATAAATTGCAGATTTTAAAATATGTCGTCACGGACTTTATATCTCCTCCAATCCCTTGTCACATAGTGTCTCACTTTGTCAACCCCTTCTCCTCCTTAGTGTATGATCTAATAGATGACTCCTTATTAAAGTGTCTAATTAGGTATACAGAAATGTTATACTTATACACAATGCTAATTGAAAATGGAGTCTCATTGTCGCTATCTGATACCTTCTAATTGGTTTTAATTATATTGTTTATACGGAACAAAGTTACTAAGTTACGCCATTGAGACCTGTTCTAAGTAGGTACTTAAATACCATAGCCTCCCTTCCTGTATTTTTTCGGCAATGTTTCGAACAGCCAGACTTCCTCGTACGTTTTCGTTAGGTAATTATATCGAGCCTAGTAAAACCGCACATCCACCTCAGCATCTTCATTCCATTAAATAGAATGTATGCACGTTTTTCCGGGTTAAGAGGCATGACTCTCTGATATACATGTGGAACTAGACAGTTCATATAATACTATATTTTTGTAAATTAAACCTTTACGGTTAATCGGCATCCTCTCTCACTTCTCGTCATTTAAGCCACGCTGCAGCTACTCACTGTTGAATGTTGCATTCTATATTCCGTGAATTGTGCATAATTCTTCCCAAATTTGAAATTGGTCAGTTATCACGAGTATACATTTAAATGTACTGGGGTTTTGGTGTACTCAACACTAGAACTCAACGCGACTCTCTATTCAAATGACTACATCATCTGCGTATATGAAGGTACACCATGCTCAAACCTGCGCAACCTTTGTAAGACTAGAACTAAGCAAAACAGGAGGTGGCTTAATACTGAGCCTAGGTGAACATCTTCACTGCTATCGGGTTTGTTTGACCCACTACCGTTGGTACCATAGGTCTCGAGTCTCTATCACAACGGATTGAATGCCGTTATCACTATAATTTTGAGAACGTCTTCTGGAAGGTTAATATCTACAATAGAATACATAGTTACATACTGTATACTGTACAGCTGCGCAAAGACCAAGGTTAGTACATTACCCAGCCTTGTGTCATGCAACATGATTGTCATCTTTTATTCGAAATGATTGTTCAAAAATTTGGACAAGCTGCTTACAAATTATATTTACACAGTGAAATTATACAACGAAAATAGCTAGTTTAGTGTCGTAAAACTTTCAGGTAAACTGTTGAAATTAATGTGGTGAAACCAGTCATAGTCACCACTGTGACTAAAAGTTTTAATGTGTTATAAAAGCTCTATTTTTCTCAACATATTCACTTTTTTAAACTTAATAAATATTTATGCTTATCTGAGGATGTCTGTATTTTGAATTAACATTAGAAACAGTATCCTGCACTAGTGATATACTACTTTAACTTATAAAACCCACAGGGCGTGAGTTCAAATCTATTCGTCTCTAAAATAACTATGTCTATTTAAATTTTGACTAACTCTCCGGTAATGGAACCACCAATAATGGATCATATCCTTTTGAAAGAGATAAGTCCCCACCATATTGAATACTGACACTTAAGCGTTTCATTTGGGCATATATTGACATTTTTGTTTCATTTTTAAAACGGTATCGTAATAAAGAAAGCCATAAAATTTTACCTTATTATATCCATATGCAGTGGGCCAGCCGGCGACTGGCCCTCAGAGACCTGACCTGGAAATCAGTACAGGGACAATAGCTTTCTATTTTTTATTAGATTATCTCACAGTGTCCCAGAGTTCTTTTAATATATAAAGCCTGATGTCCAGCCCTTTATAAAATTTCAGCAATATACGTTTCAATATACAATTATAATAGACATATATACGACTAAAACTAATTTATAGAATAATATACTATTTAAAGGAACTAAATACAGCTGTACTCAATGAAAGAAAGTCTAATGGAATTGTAACTACTGTCATTACCGAAATCTCTTCCAATATTTAAATATAATTGCACAATTCTTACTAATATTATAATTTTATATGTCTGTCTGTCTTTCTGTCTTGTCCTAATGAAATTTGAAGTTAAATATTAATAAGAGTCTGTCCTTTATCTCAAATATAGGTAATCTGGAAGTAGGTGAAATATGGGATTAATGTTTGAGTACATAAAAGGGCAGGATACAGATGTTTGGTGTTTTATAAGCTAAAAATGCTACTTCAAAGCAGTCTCGTAGCGGACTCGAAAGTTAACTTTGTAGTAAGATCAAGATCTCATTAAACTATCTTTGAAAAAACTGCACTTTTATTATAAAAGGTACTTAAGTACTTCGAAACTTCAAAAGGAAAATATATGTACTTTAGACGCAAAGTTTGAGTGGTTTTGTTTGAGTGGTACATTTATACCTATATTCTACATCACCACTGTAATCACTGGTTAACTCTTTTTTTAAATGTGATAATTTATTAAGAAGATCTTCGTTAACATCAGCATAACATATATTAGCATAAATCATCTATTCCATCAATAATGGAAGGAAAAAGAGATTCAACAGTAGTGACCGTAGTTTTAATAGATAGAACATTTCTGAAACGATTTAAGAAGCGCAGAGTTTAGACATACGAGTATGAGCAATTTGCGTAATCTAACTCGGCGTCGAATCTATGTGAAGACCAAAATTTTTGACAGTGCGACTAAATACAATTACTAAATTATCAGACGAGCAAGCCATAACGGTTGGCAGATCAATTTCAGCCAACTGTTCCGGTCTACCCAAGATTATAGCTTGACACTTGTAAGGGTGGTTAAATGTCATCCAGACCGCAGAGTTGCAAGACCACAAGTAAAAGCACAGGTCGTTGTTGATTTATGATATAGCATGATCTAAATTATCGACATAAATTTGCAAGTCGTCAGAGTAAAAATAACAAGAACTCCTAAGAATAAATGAGAGAGAGTTTATAAAAATAGAAAACTTTAATGGGGATAGAATCCCGCCTTGGGGTACGATTGATCACACCAGTTAGATAATTTAATTATATATTATTCATTTTAATAAAAAAATAATTAAAAATTACCTAGGGCATATAAAAATCATTAAATCTTTTTAACGTTTTACAAATAATTTTGTGGTATTCAGGCATTTAGTGGATAATTTATGACATGTATGTAATAGTAAAATAATTGTAGGGGAAAATTATACGAGACTAGTTTGTATTTATCATATGAATTATAAATATAGTAGATCAGTATGTGGCATAGCAAACAATCAAAAATTTTATTGATGCTAAGTGAGTATCGTTAATTAAAAAAAAAAAATTATTTCAGGAATTTGCTCCTCCCTGATGGAGTTCCCATCGAGCGCCAGCGCGCAAAATACATCGTGAAGATTCACCGTGCTGAAGGTTTGCCTAAGATGAATTACTCAATACTGGCAAACGTAAAAAGAGCCTTTACCGGAGAAAGTCAAGACCTGGTAGATGCGTATGTCGAAGTCTCTTTTGCTGGAATGACTGTAAGTACATTTATTTATTACACTAGGAAACTTTATACGTAAATGACTCCATAAGAAACTCTTTCTTCGCATCCCAATTACATATTAGATATAGCAATGAAATTAAATTATATGGTAGGATGGCAAAACATTTTACTCCTAATAAATGACCATAGTACATAAATAAGGAGGTGATAACCTATTAGCAAAATATTTTGTTATCTTTATGAGTTCCATGCTTCTTCATTCTTACAAATAAAATGTATATATTATAATATTAATATTAAGATATAAAATTAATATATACTGTTCGTACAAGTTCATTTAAAGCTGCCGTAGTATTTTATACCATTTTAATGTTTAAATTAAAAAATTTTTGGAAGAAACGAGAAGAATAGTTTTGGGTGTTCAACTTATATTGACATTTACTCAATTACGGTACACTCTTACTTATGTATTTGTCTCATTATTAGGGATACTCATCTGTAAAGAAAAGCTCCTACAACCCGGTTTGGAACGAACAGATTGTATTTACTGAGATGTTCCCACCGCTTTGCCAGCGCATCAAACTTCAACTGAAAGACAATGCTCCTGTACAACCGAATGTTATAGGCACTCATTTTATAGATCTAAAAACGATATCTAACGATGGAGAGAAAGGTAACGGTAACTGCTCCAATTTTTTCTTTTTTTACATGACTTCCGAAGAGTATATTTATTGAGCCTGCGCAACCACTTAAGAACACAAGTAGTTTTGAGTAAATTATTTAAATTTGACGACATGGATGGATATGTTTCACCAATTATTACTATTGTATTCTAAGTAAAGGCGAGGAAGTTCATAATCAGTGTTGTTGAAAAAAAAATATAGGTTTTTTATACCGTAATTATAGAGTAATTACGGTCGTATAAAAAATAATGAGAAAGGAATTTGAAGAGTCGTATTGACTATTTCATTTTACAGGTTTTTTACCAACGTATGGACCATCTTATATATGCCTTTATGGGTCTACACGAGATTATAGTTTGTTGGATCAGCACTCCGGCCTTAATTTGGGGATGGGAGAAGGAGTTTCCTATAGAGCAAGGTACCATATATAATGCAGTAATAGATTAATTAAAAAATATATCAATACATAACAGTACTTATTATCATCTTGTAATTACTAGGATTCTCATCTCAGTCCGCACTGAAATCATGGATAATATGGAATGCCCTGCATCGGAAGTAGAAATGGAACCATTTTTGGCTATAAACGAACCCAGTTTTGAAAAGAATGAGGAATTCTTTTTGTTTACCAGTATATTTGATGCAAACATGATAGACAAACGTATTAGTGATAAACCAATGCATTTTGAGCTAAGTGTTGGTAACGCAGGTAACTCTTTAGATGGCCATCATGAATCAGTGAGACGACCATACGACTTGGATGTCCCAGAACTTAGTAAGTCCATTTTAATATTTTCAACTACAATTGCTTAATTTCTTTTATTTTGCTGATACAACATTATTGTATAACTCTGACATATTTCATGGGAAAGACATCAAGGAATATACGGCTCACCGGATAGTAAGTGATAACCGTTGCTTATCAAAAGTTTTTTTTTGCGTTGGTGAGTTTCAGGCCGTATAGCCATGATTAATGGCCTAAATTTTCTGAACCAAAACTACATGTAATTTTATATTAAAAAGCATGCTTTTAAATGTAAATTTATATATAGCGTGAGTGACTCTACTATAAAATTTAATTTTTAGATGATTTGAGTGCTGATACCGGTTATTGGCAAAGTACAACTTATCCATCAAGAGCAATGTCAACTGACAAGAATTATTACTATCTACCACTCTGGGCCGATAAACAATGCATGCATATTCGCAGTATATGGCCAGATCATCGCAGGCGAATGTATAATTCTAATCTAATTGCCAGAATCATTGAAAAATTCGTAAGTATAATAAAGTTCTGCTCCAATGAATAAAAATAAGAGTTTATAAATTTTATTCACTTTGTATTAAATCTATTAAATATATAATAATCAATTTAATATAATATTTCAATACCTATAATTTTGGAAAATAGGAAGAAGGACTATCAGATGTTCAAGTAGCCATCGAGACAGATGTCGGACCTGATAACTCGGCTGTGATAGCCCTCAAGACTACTCTAGAAACTATTACCAATGCATGTATTGCGTATGTGCGTCATATGTCCAATGTCCCACCTATTGGAAGTACAAAGCTTGACAAGGAAAGACATAAGTTATGCATCTTTGAGATAGTACGTACCTAGTTAAAATATCTATATAAATTACTCATTACTATAATTTATTAACTTTGAGCATAATGTCTAAAAAATTATTTCAAAAGTAAATCTTAATCATATGTATATATGTCACTTATAAAAATATGTTTAGTTAGAAACTTTTTTGGAAACCTTTAAATTGATTTCATTCTATAATAAATAGAAGTTTAAAAATCTAAAGATCATGCAAAACCTGATATTATAGACAATGATAAGATAATCTTATATTTTTGTATAGGATCAAATCGGATCAATGTCGAAAACCTTAAAAGCCCTTATCACGAAACATTCCATGAAGGATCGGATACGAACAGCATATACCTATCTCACAAAATTGAGACACCTGTGTGAAGATGTAAGTAAATAGAAAATCTTACATAATATAATTTATTGCTTTATCTAATTACACATGCTTCTATTTTAGCCTCAACACGCAATGCCAGACGTTTTCATATGGCTGGTGAGTAATGGAAAACGAATAGCATATCAGAGAATTCCAGCTAGAGACCTTATATACTCTGAAGTACCGGAAGAGTGTGGTAAATATTGTGGAAAAATGCAAACCCTATATCTAAAGGTATGCAAGTTAATCAATAAAAGAATTAAGGATGAAATACTAAGACTCCTTAAATTATTTTTTTCTTCGTGTTTCTTTCAGTGGCCAGGAAAAAAAGCTTTAACACCCAGTGGTTGGACGATACCGGCTAAAATTAACGTATACATATGGCTGGGTCTTACACAAGATAAAAAGCACTACATTGATGGATTGCCTCAGGGCTACGAATTGAGCAATGAATTAAGAAATGCTGACAAAATACGTTATAATGCACCTCACACTATATATTACACTGAGAAACATGTAAGACTTATATAATATAATAATAACTAAATGTGTTATTAGTTACTTATAATATATTTTAAATTATATTCTTTCAGACGTTCCAAATGCGTGCTTATATATACCAAGCGAGGTCATTGATAGGATCAGATTCATCTGGCCTATCAGATCCCTTTGCTAGAGTAGTAATTAACGAATGTACCGCGACAACACAAGTTATAGACGAAACTCTAAGTCCTACCTGGGATGAGACTCTTATATTTGAAGATATTTTGTTATACAGTACAATGGAGCAAATAAAAGCAGAACCCCCAACCATTGTTATTGAGATTTTTGATCAGGACAAAGTAGGAAAATCTGAGTTTATAGGTCGGACACTGGCAAAACCGCACATAAAGACTTTCGAAGAGATACGCCAGAAAACGCAACTACCTTCACTTGAATGGTATGACATTACACGTGGCGATGACAGTGCAGGTGAACTTCTTGCTGCATTTGAATTACTGGAAATTCCTCCTAAACAGGATTCGTCCATATTACCAGAGCTCCCGTCTCCAAGGGAACCTAATGGAAAACCACCTATTGACACAAACAAAGGTCCAATTCTTCCAGTACCAGTAGGAATTCGCCCCACTTTATCGAAATATCGTATTGAAGTTTTGTTTTGGGGTTTACGTGATCTCAAACGAGTACATCTTCTGACTGTAGATAAACCCCGAGTTGATATAGAATGTGCCGGCAATATCATATATTCAACGGTCATACAAAATGCAAAAAGAAATCCCAATTTCATAAATCCTGTAAAATATGTCGATGTAGAATTACCAGATCAGGATTTATATAGACCACCATTAACAATTCGAGTAGTAGATTGTCGAAGTTTTGGCAGGATTACACTTGTTGGTACACATACCATAAATTCCATTCATAAATATATGTATACACCGATGAGTAAAAAGGAAAGGGAAATCGAAGAAAGAAAGAAGTCTATAATTCCACTCCAAAATGTGGACTTACGTGCTAACTGCATTCTGCAGGATGATGTGTATATTGAAAACGAAAGAGAAAATTGCCCTTTACTTACTCGTTATGGACGCGGAAATATAAGTTATGGTTCTGGTGTAAAACTACCGATGCGCAAAAAGTTTTCAAAAGGCGAATCTAGTAAAAAGAGGAAAGCCAGTACTGATTCCATATTAGATGAAGACGATGACAATAAGGACTGGTGGACTAAGTATTTTGCTTCGGTAGAATCAATGATTGAAGTAGAAAGAGAAGCCAAGAAGGAACTTCAAGGATATCTTCAAGCCCCACAAACATCATCATCATCTCATGTAGATGAAATACGACCTTTTAGAGACGAAGTACAATCTATGCGAGCTGACCGTGATGGTACAAGGCTACAACAGCCAGCTTCACCAAGACATAAACTTAGCCCTACTGTATCAAAGAAAAATGAAATACCCAATTCGGCATTGACAAAGGTATAACTTTAATTTGATAGCTTTTTAATAAAAATAAATACGAACATAATAATACATGTACATACTGTTAATATATGTACACATTCTGAGAATGTAAAATTATATATATATATAAAGGTATAACAAATCTACATAGTGTCTATTAATATTGTAGATATACCCACACGAGTTGGAAGCTGTACCGGAGTATGATGAATTCAAAGAATGGTTAAATTCTTTTGAATTATATAGAGGAAAAAAAACTGGTGATGAATGCGAAGATGAAAACCGAGTAGTTGGTGTTTTTAAGGTGAATGATTTTACCTATAATACATACCTATAATCTAACAATTTTTAAATGTTTCTTATTTCTGTTATATGATACATACTTATCATATTGATATCCTTTTTTTAGGGTGCATTAAAAGTATGCAAATGGCCTCTACCAAAAGGAATTGATGATCATACTGTTATGGGATTTGACCCAAAGCACGGATTTTTCCAAGGCGTTCCGAACAATGAACCAATACATGTTCTCGTGAGAATATATATTGTTAAAGCTACGGATCTGCACCCCATGGACCTCAACGGAAAGGCAGATCCGTACATAGTCTTACATTTGGGTTCAAAGAGAATAAGCGACAAAGAAAACTATGTCTCGAAACAACTTAATCCTGTTTTTGGAAAATGCTTTGAAATTGAGGCAACATTTCCTCAAGACTCAATGCTCAACATTCAAGTTCTAGATTGGGATTTACTGGGATCTGATGATTTAATAGGAGAAACTAAAATCGATCTCGAAAATAGATTTTATAGTCGGCACAGGGCAACATGTGGACTACCTATGAAATATGAAGAGTATGTAGAGATAAATTTATTAGTCTTAATTACATTCTTATATAAATATTACTTTTATAATTGTGGTTTTTGATATTTGCAGGCAGGGTTACAACCGTTGGCGTGATGCTTTGAAACCCACACAAATTTTGGCAAAATTATGCAAAGATGGTAAATTAGATCCACCTGTATATGAACTTGGAAGAGTCAAAGTTGGACGGACTGTATTTAATATGCCAATGGATGATAAGGAATTATTCTCTAATCCCGACACAGTTGAAGAGCAGATGGCACTAGTAGTCTTGCGACGTTGGCAGGAAGTTCCACGGGTGGGAACCAGATTAGTCACTGAACACATTGAAACAAGACCACTTTATAATCCAAATAAACCCGGTAATAAACTCAATAGTTACATATTTTAGTGCTGCTAATAAATAATATTTAAATGTTAAAGATTTTATTAATTTGTCAAATCACTCAGAATGTATTTTAATTGTTACAATTATGTTAAAGTAAAAATAAATTATTTATTAACAGGTATTGAGCAAGGACGTCTTGAAATGTGGGTAGATATGTTCCCTATGGATATGCCTCTACCAGGTCCACCAATGGATATTTCAGCTCGTAAACCTAAATCTTACGAAATGAGAGTAATAATATGGAACACTGATGACGTGGTTCTAGAAGATGATGCTTTCTTTACTGGAGAAAAAATGTCTGATATTTATGTGAAAGGGTGAGTTTTCTTTTTTTCTATTTGTTGGTATTATAGTAAAGCTTTTACTAATTAAAATATCATCAATTTTCTTTCAGGTGGATAAAAGGTCCAGACGATTGTCAATGTACAGATATACATTACCGTTCATTAACAGGAGAAGGAAATTTTAACTGGCGATTCATATATCCTTTCGATTATTTGGAAGCTGAAGAGCGTATTGTAATCTCTCGTAAAGAGTCCGTTTTCTCGTGGGATGAAACAGAATGTAAGATTCCTGCACGACTTGAACTACAAGTGTGGGATGCAGATCATTTTTCAGCAGATGATTTCTTGGGTAAGTCAATCATTTTAAAATGTTATAAGACATGTTAGTATTTCATAATATGCTTCAATGTAGCATATAAAAGTTAGTATAATTATTATTTTTTATTTTTAGGAGCTATTACCTTAGATTTAAATAGATTTCCACGTGGAGCTAAATCAGCTAAATTGTGCACATTGGAAATGTTAAGAAGCGATGGCACGGTGCCTTTAATAAATATCTTTAAACAAAAGCGTGTCAAGGGCTGGTGGCCATTTTATATTAAGCGCGACACTGAGGAAATGGAGTTGACCGGGAAGGTCGAAGCTGAAATCCATATTCTTACTCGTGAAGAAGCTGATAAAGTACCAGCTGGTCTAGGACGTAGTGAACCAGATCCCCTGGATAAACCCAAGTAAGTAGTATGCCTTACATACTGTCAACTATTTTTTCTATTATTATTACATAGACCATGTGCTTTAAATTTAAAACAGAGTTTCCCTGAAAGAAACTAACATGTAAACAAGAGATGATATGAAAATAGCTGAAGTATAAGGCATATGTATAAAGAAGAACATATCTTTAACTTAGAAAACTGGTGACCTGTTTTCAGGAATGGGAATAAATACTATCAAATATATTAGGTATATAGAATTAGGACTTTAAAATTTCTATACGCGCTACCTGAGACTTTATTCTTCTCTTATTTTTCAGCCGTCCAGATGCTTCCTTTATGTGGTTCCTCAATCCACTAAAATCGATCCGCTACATAATCTGGCATAGCTACAGGTGGACAGCTGTCAAAGTATCTATATTCCTTACGTTAACTATAATGTTCTTACTTTTAATGTGGGCTGTACCTGGCTATTTAGTAAAAAAATTACTCGGTGCTTAAATACCGGCTTTCATTAGAATAAGTAATGTTTTTATTTTTTATGTATTCCATACCAACCACACGGTTAAATATTATTCGGCGCTTAATTACCGGCTAAATATCCACATATTTAATAGTAGACATTACTAACCAGAAGTAGTAATCTTTAACAATTTATTTCACAATAATATCTCAACATATACAGTCAACTTACACAAAAACTTGCATATTACATTGCATAGAATAAGTAATGTTCTCGCTTTTAATGTATCTCATACTTAGTCACATGGTAAAATATTACTCGGTGCTTAATTACCGACTGAATGTGTATTCACAATTTTAAAAGTAGAGATAAGTGACTAGATGAAGTAAAGTATAAAAACGTAGCGTATGTTAATGTCTCAACATATATAACCAACTTAAACAATATATATATTATATTGTATTAGAATAAGTCTTACTTTTAAAGTATGCCATACCTGGCCACATGGTAAAATATTACTCGGTGCTTAATAACCGACTGATTGTGTAACCACAATTATAATAATAGACTACGCTATCTAGAAGAAGTAATGTTAACCGACTTATATTAATATCTCGACATATATAATCAAATTATGCAAATCATATGTTACACTGTATTAGAATAACTAACGCTCTTACTTTCTATGTATGAAGTATCTGAACACATGATATTATAAATAGTACTCAGTTCTGAATTACCGACAGAATATATATCATATCATATAATAGAAGTAATGTTTAACAACAACAGCTTATGCAAGATATATAATGCATTGTATTAGAATAGGTAATATTCTTACTTTTAACATATCTATCCGATAGCTAGGTATCGTGGTATACATGGTAAAATTTTTCTCATTGAACATGTATCGACTATTTTAATGGTAGAAATCAGTAACTAGAAGAGGTAATGTTACACACCTTGACACCTTAGCTTATATTAATATCACAACATATTACCTACTGAATGAGTATTCATAATTTTAATAATAGAGAACACTAACTAGAAGAAATAATGTTGACTTAGCTTATTTTAATGTTCAAAAAATGTATAATCAACTTACAGAAAACATACATTACTTGTATTAGAATTATTAATGCTCTTGCTATTAATTTATGCTGTACTTCGTGACATCTTTACATTTTACTCGGTTCTTAATTTCCAACTGAATGTGTATCCACAATTATACTCGTATTAGTAAAAAGCAGTAACTTAGACTATATTAATATCTCACCATATGTAATCAACTTATACAAAACATATATCGCATTGTTTTAGAATAAGTAATGTTTTAACTTTTAATGTATGTCATACCTTGATATAGTATTACTCGGTCCTTAATTACTAGCTGAATATGTATCCACAATTTTAATAGTAGAAATCAGTATCTAGAAAGAATAATGTTTAAAAATTTAACTTACATTAATGTCTCAACATCGGTATATAATCAACTTACACAAATTATGTATTGCATTGTATCAGTATAAGTAATGTTCTTAATTTTAATGTATGTCATACCTAATCACACATGATAAAATATTACTCAGTCCTTAATTACTAGCTGAATATGTATCCACAACTTTAATAGTAGAAATCAGTAACTAGAATGAATAATGTTTAATAATATAGCTTACATTAATGTCTAAACATATATAATCAACTTACACAAATCATTTATTGCATTGTATCAGTATAAGTAATGTTTTAACTTTTAATGTATCTCATTGATAAAATATTACTCGGTCCTTAATTACTAGCTGAATATGTATCCACAACTTTAATAGTAGAAATCAGTAACTAGAATGAATAATGTTTAATAATTTAGCTTACATTAATGTCTCAACATATATAATCAACTTACACAAATCATGTATTGCATTGTATCAGTATAAGTAATGTTTTAACTTTTAATGTATCTCATTGATAAAATATTACTCGATCCTTAATTACTAGCTGAATATGTATCCACAATTTTAATAGTAGAAATCAGTAATTAGAAAGAATGATGTTTAACAATTTAGCTTACATTAATGTCTCAACATCGGCATATAATCAACTTACACAAATCATGTATTGCATTGTATCAGTATAAGTAATGTTTTAACTTTTAATGTATCTCATACCATGATAAAATATTACTCGGTCCTTAATTACTAGCTAAATATGTATCCACAATTTTAATAGTAGAAATCAGTAATTAGAAAGAATAATGTTTAATAATTTAGCTTACATTAATATCTCAACATCGGCATATAATCAACTTACACAAATTATGTATTGCATTGTATCAGAATAAGTAATGTTCTTAATTTTAATGTATGTCATACCTAATCACACATGATAAAATATTACTGTCCTTAATTACTAGCTGAATATGTATCCACAACTTTAATAGTAGAAACCAGTAACTTTGCTTATTTTAATGTATCAACATATGTATGTACGTGGATACATTAATATAAGCAAAGTTGATTATATAATCAACTTGCAAAAAATAAATGTTACAGTGTTGTTGTATTAAGTCAATAAATGCATTCTGGATGTGATATTGATGTTTTATTTTGACTACAATTTTTATTTTTGCCTTGTACAAGATGATGGTTAAATAAATGGAAATCAACTACTAATACTTAATATTTTTCATGTATCTATTCAATCGCTTTTATTTTTTCCCAAATTTATTTTTAAAATGGTGTTCTACAAATACGCTAATATTAATTTATTCAATTCTAAATGTTAAATATTTAATTGAATAGCCTTATTATTTTTTTGTGATAAAATATACGCAGTCCAACCAGTCATTATTAAAATGTCTGTTTTGATTTGATTATTGATTATTTTTTAGCTTAAATAACTATATACCTAGCACTCTCATATAATACTCGACTGTTCGGTTATATGTCAAAATATTCATTACAAGTTTACAGATTTGTATAATTCTTAGATATCCAAAGAACGCCTGCAATGTTTGAAATATGCACGACCAAAAATTCATATATATCTATATATTTTATAAAGAAGTTTGGACAATTACTCATGGCTTAAACCTGTACTAGCACAAAAGAAACCTATTGAGCTTTTCCTTTTTTAGAATATGCTGCTTAGGACTGTCGGACAGGAATTGAAGGATATTCTTAGGAGTGATTTTTTATATCCTTAGGACAGGCTCTCCCAACCACAGAGGATGTATTATATTAAATATTCCTATCTAATAATAAATTCTTATCAATCGTACCGCATACTAACTGATTTATGTATAGAATAATAAAAGCATACTAATATGTCCACAATAAATTTATTAAGACTATAAATTCAAAAACACTCATAAAAAACTTCAGCGATCACACCAGATATTCTTGCCAATTGTACTGGATCTTAACCTGCCTGGGAATGGGTTGGAATATGTCAGCTACAGCCGCATCTACGGCGGCGTCTACGGCGGCTACGACGACGCCGAATTCTGCGTCTCCTACGTCGTCGGGAACGACTGCGTCTTCGACGTCGACAACACATCCCCTGAGATACCCAATTCCTGTAATAGGAACCTTTCCTCTCCAAAAATCCTAATGCCGTTCCATTCTCCAATATACTTTGCACTGTTCGATTTAAATCTGCAGGTTCGTGCTTTTGCGTGGTACGCAAGTGATGAAGTATATCACCAATCGTTGCACCATCTTTATTCTCATGTAGATATTTTATCACCAATCTTCCCGCTGCATATTGTTGCCCAACACAATCTATAGGCTCTACTCCTGTCATAATATATTTATATATATATCTAAATAAAATTGAACAGTTACATTACAATTTTGAACATTTCAATAAATTTACACTGCCAAAATGAGTCATAAAATATTAGATGAAAAACATGACTGTGATTATGTCACTACTGTTCCTTTTTTAACAAGTAATTTATTTTTTATTCTGCCAATTTTGTGGAAAATTTTTAAATAAACGTTTTCATTTTAGTAGAGTAAAATGAAAAGTAGATGCTGGCCACAACGTAAAACTTTAAAAAATGTACAAACTATATGACATTATCATTTATCATATTCATTTTACTTTGGCTTTTAGTGAAATAATGTATTTGATTAATTACTCAAAATAACTCATTGTTGGAAGAATGTGAAATTAAGCATTTCTATTACACACATACATTTCGATAATGTCGCTTAACGACGAACAAAACCAAGAGCAAAACACTTCGAAACTGGTAATGACCACATTTTACAAAGTGGCCAACAGAGATGGCGTCACAGCTGGAGACATTACCAGATACCTTCAGGATAAGTTCGGCGACGTGTGGAGATCTAACACGTTGACGGGGAAGGCCGAGGAGACCTTGCAGAGGAGTGTCGCCATGGGTTTCTTGGAGAAGTGTGGGGACAGATATATTGCAAAATTGGTACGTGAAATGGGATGTCGCCGACGCAGACGTCGCAGCCGGAGACGTATGCGTCGTCGTCGCCGCAGTTGTAGGCGCCGAAGACGTCGACGTCGAGTCTGTTGTTGCGGATAGTTTTAAATGTCTTTAAATAAATTATAAATTTCTGCGATATTAATTACCGAGTCTCATTGCGATGTCTAAGGTAGTGTGTTCAAACCTGGTTGCCATTAAAAACGGTGTAAATTTATATTTCTGACTACCTACTGTATAACGTAATAGACAAAGGGGCGTCTTATAATCCATATATTAATTTAAAATCAGGATACCGCATAGGTATTATAAATTAGCGCAATGGTCAGTAATATGGGGTACTTTACCTACATTTATTAATACACATAAGGAACATATACATAGCTATGTCTTCATGATAACTACTTACTGTTGAGTTCAACATGTGGTAAAAAAGATTTCTTATTCATCTTTTAAATATTTACTGGTATCTACTTTGTACAAAGTCTACCTCCAATGTGAATATCCAAAACATGCCATTACTTGGCGACGCTAGTATTGAGTGCTACTGAGCACGACGTGCTCTTTCCTGTCTATAGACGACTTACCATCAGGTACTCAGTTACTCTGGGCTACAAGCAAATTTACTAGTCTCTCCCTGGTCAAGACTGTTTACAATATATAAATAGATTATTAAGTTTAAACTGCATTTAAATATCTTATAATATTGAAACTATTTATTATTATTACTATTATATCTATAGTAACTGCAAGTTACGTCAGTAACTCCAAAGATACGTACGTACCTAATATAAATATTTTATTACATTCTTACGAACTATAAGACACCTTTACATAATTAATTACAGTATATGGACAGGATAATAAATAAAACACGAAATCCAATGATCAATTATTTTATTATTAACTCTAAAATAGTATTTACACGTCTTTAAAACATATCCATCGTATAATAATAATCGAAACATTTAACATTCAGTTAGAGTTTACAAAGATCAATTACACTTATTGCTTCATTACTGAAGGCTGTACTTGTAAAATAATTTCAGAAATACCGTGGTCATCAGTTTGCAAGGCGAAAAACACATTATCAAAACATGAACGTCGATATAATTAGTTTTTTTCATAATAATGATCGAAATACCCATTTACTCAACATACTTAAAAAAACAAACACAGTTCTGCACAGACGCTCAATGCTTCTTAATTTTAAAAATGATGGCGTCCATAATAAAGCTAATGTGCTGATCGCCCTATCATATATATTATTAATTGGTACATAAATACCCCTTACATACTGGCTACTAGAAGATACAACAGCGTGATTAAATCGTGTATAATGTATTTGTGCGTGCTTAAATCATAATTCGAAATTGATCGCAGTAGATAGCATTATGTTTAGAAAATAGAATATACATTATACACTCCCTATAAACTAATTAAGTAATTTGATTAGAGGTCCCGCAGGAGATAGTCGCGTGGTGTTATGTATCGCGTTATATATATATATTTTTATATATATTCTTATTATTAGGTTAAACAATTTGCAGCGAGCATTTGAGTATTTGGAGTCGTTTCCTTATTTAATTTTTATGCGTATACTGCAACGCCCCGCAGAACTGAATAACCTTTGCAAATAAGTTATAGTTAAAAGCATTTATTATCAAAATCTAGCAGGGTGCAATAACTGTAATTTTTTCCAACAAATAAATAATGAAATCATATAAATGAATCAACTTATATCAAACGAATAGAATAGAATTTAAATACATAATTAATGTTCTAGATCACTACAAAATGAATTTAGGTAGCCATTTAAAATACCGTAAAGGATTTCTGAAAAATTACAGTTAAAGAAAACCGTGATAAAAATTGATATGAAAGCTGAATTATGAAACGGAAAGAAAACTTGGCAATAGATATATCGTGGTAGAAGGTCCTCTGCGTACATATTCTTCAGACAAGCCGCTTATGTTGCGTGTACCGGTTTGAAGGTGAAATGGGGTGGGGTACTATGTTTCAACATACTCGGCCTAATGTAGGACAATAGAAAACAAGACAATGAGATATTCTGTGGTACTGTACATATACATATATCCATACAGTACTACAGTATATAATATATATTCTATAATATATATATATATATATATATATTCTATAATACAGTATATAATAATATTCTTTATTCAAATTGTTTAAAAATGACATATGTTTTTGCACGCAATGGAGTTATTATTAGAATAGGCAAAAGTAACAACATATAATTCGAATGTTCGAAAATCTCTAATAATTAGTGTGACGGCGATAAGAGCGCCGAGAGTCCTTTAGAGGGTTTTGGGGTTAATCCATCTCAAATCAAATAACGTTGCCTCACATTCGAATAATTTACCGAGTCAAAAAAATAAGTATAAAAGAATACATGTCGAATAAGTTCCTTTCCGTTACATAATACGTATATAATTACAAAAAAGCTTATTGTCGCTAGCATTTCACGAGCTAAGCCATAGCCAATATGCGAGAGTTATTAATTAGCATAGTAGAAGGCAGTCGGGGTAGTTTTATAATATAAATTTCGTCAATTACTATGAATTTTATTCAATATTTTAAAGTATAATTATATATTTTAAATATTTACCTAATCTCGCTTAATTCTGTTAAATAATTTGAGTAGAAGACAAGGTGTTTCGCTTAATCACAAAATAACAATTCTAAAACAAATCATTCACGGTACATGTATACAGATGTTGCGACAGTTACAATCAAGTACACTATAGACCGGTAAGTACTATAACATCTAAAACACATTGTCGATATACTCGTTTATCCTAATAGTAAATATTACACAGTATAACATTCAATTTGCCGTACACACAATTATAGAGCGATTAGAAAAGGTTTTAGTAAAAACTGTTCACGGTCAAACTTCACAAAAGAGCCATACTCGCAAAACCTGTCCGTGGGTGTTTCATCAATCACTTTTAATCCCTGACATTGACCTACGTGTAAACAGAGCCTAAAGTTGTATTAAAAATATTCATTAGAAATAAGGTATATACAAATGATTATACAATAGTTTGAAACGTTATAATAATATATACATAAACACTAACAAAGTCCTTAGGCAAAATTATAAAGTTAAAAATTACAAAAACATTTTTAATATCAATTATTATAACGATTGTGATAATCTATAAATGTTGTATGCATTTAAAAACGATCACGTGGAAATGGAACAATAACATTAAGCCACAAGGATCAACTCACTTTTAAATATTGTCTTTAATTAAAATACATATAATAATGCATAATTCTAAATTATACGTATAGATGTCTGTCGGGCACTTTTATAATTACGACAGAGTCGTAGTGTCGTGGCTTTCAACTGATAATTATAAAAGTTACCATATCTTGCATGTTTCATTGTGATGCTACATTATTATGAAACTTCAGAGAACTAGTAAATAATTGCAGTGTAATGTTCATCGTAATAAATAAGTATAAATATAAATTCATTGAACTGGCAAGTCATTAGAATGGAAGATGTGTAACTACATACGTGTATTGCATAATTCCCATGAATCTATTATATTATATGTAATTGAAATAAATAAGCATTTATATATTTGTTTATCTATTGGTTAAAACACTTAAATAACAAGATTATACAGATTGACAATAATTATCTATTTAAAATGTCAAATACATTAAAATTGGCTTGCGCAATAAATAAGTTATTCAATAAATACAAATCAACATTTATTATTTCTCTACCTACATAATTAAAAAAAGGCAGACAAAACCACTGCTTTAATTAACACTGGAAATTGAATATAAAATATAAATTATTGAAATATCTATAAATGAAAAATTAACGGCGCGAAGCGATAAAACAAGTGCAACAATAAAATAACCGATTACGTCGGATATATGTATATATAGAGAGAATATATCTACGTCACAAACAGTTACAGATTCACTATTTAATTCCACATTGAAGTGTTACTGAAGTTTTATATAAATCAGTAATCTTGTTATGATCCATAAATACAATAATTACGCCTACAAATGGAGAGCACCTAGTGCCTAGGGGTTCAGGTGGACAAAAGCTATAAATACTGACCGTAAGTGGTCTAAGTTAAAGTCCAATCCGGCTTACTTTCAACTGCACAATGGATTAATTTCATAATATATCTAATGTGAATCACAACATTCAGTTACAATGAGCAAAAAGGTACATTATTACGCTATAATTTATGTTATCATAAAATGGTAAAACCTGCGACATTAATCTATAATTTTAAACATATATTTTTCCTACATATACGTAAAACAATCGTGTCCACATTAAAATGTGCACGATAAGTGAATCAAATCCGGGAGAAACGTTTACTATATGTTCGGAACCCGACGATGAATTCATTCGTATGTGACTAGACATTTAAACGGTTCGTATTCAGAGTCTACTTGTCGCAAATGTTGGTATTATCAATGTATTGTTTCAGATACTTTTATGTTTTCAAATTCAGAGAAAATAGATATAGGATACAGAAATACGATGTAAACATACAATCCAAAAGGCATACACGTTTATAAATATAAAATAAAGACTTAAAAGAGGACACTCCACCCAACGGCCAGAACACACTGAAGGCACAATAATTGTTGTCACTTTATCATGCACTAGCTGACAATATCATTCGTATCGACGTACGTGCACGCTCTAATAATACTAACCATTAACTTTCACTTCCATTTACACTTCTATACAACAATTAATAAAAACGGGTATTTATCGTTATTACGCCGTTTGTTGGTAGATTACGTCGCGCCGTTTTCCTGCCGAGCTAGTCTACTACGTTCATTTTAATATCGGTCTAATTGGAGTAAGCTAGGGAGGATGACTCCGCTCGGAAGCTGAACACACCGATGGATACCATGGGAGTCGAAGGTGAAGCGCGAGTGCCTACAAGGCGTCAAGAGTCCTAATGATATAGACGTAAGAGGTATAGTTAACAACAAAAACGGTGAACACTTATGAACCGTTTGCATCACCCTGGAGCTGGACATAGCTTCAAACATTTGAACATGTATTCGTAGGCCTGTCAATAAATATTTAAACGTTAGCGCAAGCAGACATGCTTTGCAAACATGCCCTCACAGCTGTAAACTTTGCGCTAATGTTCAAACTTTAAACATATTATCAAAACTTAAATACCCGTGCCTTAAACGGTTTTGTAGGTATTTGGCTGCTTGAAGCTATGTGTGAGCGCTGGCTTACTAAGAGGTTCAAATAATATAATGAAATGTGTCCAGGTAGTTTTGTTGGTCACTCACCAATATACATTAATGCGATAGCTTATCACAAGGCGAGTTACAATGGACATGATACGTTGACAATTCACGCGGTGTCAATGTCGCCGACATTGATGCGGTCCTCGGAAGCTGTTACAGAGAAACCCAGTATACGTGCGTCCACTTTCAGCATCTTATTTTTTTTGGATTTTTTCCCCTTGCCCTGTAAATTACAAACAGTTGATTAATTTTATGAGTGTTATGTTTGTTTTAATTATGAATCGTAGCAACCGATTAGCGCAGTACTGGATACAGATCTCTCTTCATGGACATAGCCAAGTGTTACCATGAAGATCAGGTGATTTGGTTTAGAGAACTTGGTTTCGAATTTTCCATCTCTTGCACCCTTGTATTAAAAATTAACTTCGACCTGTTACGACACCCATGAGATAGAAAGTAGTGGTAATAAATGGTATTCTTACTCCTAAAGATTATATTTGCATTTTATAGCTTGTATTTTCCTCTAGAACTAGAACAAAAAAACTACCGCCAGTATGATACAGACGGGACTATTTGAGTCCCGGCTCGTGGTCTCGTACTATTCATGCTTGCTGTAGTGATAGGCACGTCATTATCAGAAAAGATCATTACATTTATTGGTGTGTAATCTAAGTCGAATCCAATAAATGTATTTTATCTACTTTCAATCTTCCCATCACCAATACCTCAGTTATGATATACTTATACATTAAAAATATTTCAAATAGAAGAAAGGACAGATTATCTAATGCAATTACACGCGTTAGTAAAGTATAATCTGTACTTTCCCCTACAAGTGATACAATGTTCTTACCACATCTATGGAAAAAATAAATAAAAAAATGCAAAACAAAACCAAAAATAAATTGATAATGCAATTTGTATGAAATAATAAATAAAATCCCGCTTTGAATCCTCTAGTTAATAGAATAAATTCATTATTTGCTAAGTAAAAAATTATTTATTTGCTCAAAATACGCTTCGCACATGTCGCGATGTCTAGACATCTGAACAGTTTCATGTCTGAATTTATAAAGCGTTTAAAAATCTTTTAGTTAATTAGTATTCAATTTAAGGCTATCTGCAAATGTTCTGTGTTTATCATAATTAAAAAAAAAACATTAACATAAATCTTTATAATGTAAAAAAATATTATAAAGCTTCGATTATTTATGTGTCACAAATAAAATAAGCAATCAAATATAAAAAGCACTAAAGAAATAACAAAAACGGGATCAAAGTAATTATGTGATTTAGGTGCTTGAATACATTTTCCGGGTAGATGTAGTAAAAATATATGTATTAACCTTAACCTCCTGATAATCAGATCCAGATATTGTGCGAGGGTTGACCGCAATGGCCGGAGAGCAGAGGTCGTCCGAGGGCGTCACCATGCCAACGCGCAGTAATTTAGACCTAATTATAAAAACATCACTTAAACACTGACAACTGTGGTAACAACTGAACAATATATAAACAACAAAAAAAATATCCAGACAAAAAAACGATGCCTGTTTTTAGTTTCGTTTAATTTATTAATTTCGTCTCAATTCATGGCGACATTGTCCACTGACAATTAATCCCTGATGCGATTGTATTATTATTAAATATACGAGGCAAATTTTGTGTCATTTTACAGGATTCAAATATTACAATTTTATTCCAATATATTATATTTTTTTTATAGTTATTATAGTTTATTTAATAAAATTATACATATTTATTTTTGAGTTTCTTGGAGTTGCAGTTGAAGTTTAAGTTGATTAGTTGATGTTGAGTTACATGGATACCGTGAGAGCTGATAGTAATAGGATTACTACTTGCTTTTAAACGCCGAAGCCGCAGTATAACGCTAACTATACTGCAAGTTGGATACACCGTGTATTTTGTGATAAATTTCCCGGACATCCGGACCACCGGACTAGGTGAACAATCTTTGCAAATATTAATTTGAATAAAAAAAAGATCATTACCTTTAAGACTGTCGGTTGTAGGAACGATTTAAAATATATGTAAATACTAACCTACGCTCAAGAAACTGCCGAGCAAAATCATTAGCGTCCTTTGTCTCGCCTAAATAGTATTTCACGTAGTCCTTGACCTCGTATGGTGACTCGATATCTTTCAGGAAGCTAACGAAGGTCGGCACTGTAATGTTGACACAGAATTGTAATCTACGAGGTAGAGAGGGGGGTAATAGACATAAACATAAAGCACAATAAAAATACGTTTTAAAAGATTTATTTTTGTTATATTTATTTTATACTAACACTGTGGACCTCATGTTACGATTATTTTAATCTCACCCCATTCATTCCAATTCTATAATCTTGAATACATTGGGATCCAAAAGTCTTACACACATATAGATATGAAACATTCGTATATTTTATTTAATAATTAAATAAAAAGAACTAACCATCAACATTGGTGTTCCACGAAGACAGCACACCAGTGCACCAAGTCTCGAATTCAGCAGCTGGCGTTATCTCTTTCTTTGGTGGAATAACGATAGTCGTTTTTTTTTTTATCTTGGGTGGCTCTACTTTTGGAGCTTCTTGGGGTTTCTCCACTGCTTTCGGTTGTGCATTGGGCTGGGTATCCCAAAAACCTGTTATCAAAATGTTCAGCTGTTATTTTAATTATGTACCCAACTTTTGATACATAGTCTATGGACAAAATAAATCTAACGTCTTAATACAGTATAAATACTTATTCTAATACTTTAACGGTTTACTAGTGGTTGTTTAATCGACGATCTTGGTCGCCGTTATACTTCAGTTTTAAATGTAATGAACATGTGAAGTAATACTCCTCACGTCGTATAAACCATACAGTCAGTTTTAATTCATATACTTTGTTTTTATTATAAAAAATAATAATAAACCTCTTTAATGCACACTGAAAAAATATTCCAAAAAGAACATTTTGCAGCATATTTATGTGCTTAACAAAAGACGGCCTATCGCTTTAACCAATCTTTTACAGACACCCATATAATATACTCTTAATCTCGAAACAGAACATAGCTGAATATTTGGATTTGAATTTGAATTTGAATTTCCACAATAGAGTGAAAACATATGATAGGAAAAAATAAGTTAAATAGTAATTACTACTTTAGTTTATTAATGTAATAAATGTTAGAAATTTATTACATTCCTGTACATTCACATTACTATTATTTTAAGTTACGGGTTGTCAAAATTACCCTTGTTGGAAATAAACTCGTATATTGACAATGCATTTCTATTAATTGTAACAAGTACAGAAATTACAACTTTCACTCAAATACCTCTATCTTTATTTATTTTACTTACACACTTTCAATATTTTCTTTAAATATAAAATGATTTTACTTCATAACATCAGCTTCTTTTACCTCCGTTCTGGGGATTGCCCCAGGGCACATGGTTAGCCGCAGCCTGCACCTGAGCAGCCGCGATTTGAGCATTTTCTAGAGCTTGGGCATGAATAGCCGCCGCCGCCACAGTGCGTTTGCGGGCCTCAGCCTAAAACATTAATGGATAGTGAAGTCCATGTATAGATTACGATCCCGGAGAACTAAGATATTCCTCCTTCATTAATTTCACAAAAATATTTAACACCTGAACGACTAAAAAAAAAAGATGGATGGATTGTGTGAAAGATGATGTGAATAAAAGGAGAGTAAGCTCAGATATAACGGCTGATAGGCATCGGTTGAAGAGGATATCTTGCGCCAACCCCAAATCAAGGGTTAATGATGGGTGGGATGGTAAGCAATGATGATGATAATTTAACCCTTCTACCGCAACAAAGTCACTATCTATATATTAACTTTTTTAAACTTTACTTGACAATTCAAACAGCGCCATCTAGTAGTTTCTAGTAGTCCAATATAAACAATCATATTCATGAATACAAATTCGTCTAGGAATCGAATCCGCGACCATTCGAAGTAAGGCAGTAAATGTGCTAACCACTAGGCCACCAAGGTTTGATAATAAATCTAGTCACCTGAATCTCAACGAAGCTTGGTCCAGGGACGTTTAAGTTGTTGCCTTTCTTTTTAGCCCAACCTAGACCAGCCTGCATTTCCTGCCGACAAATAATTGACAAATTAATAAAAATATTGTATTTCCACTAAATAAGTTCTTTTATGTTTATGAAATATAAATAATTTTAATTTGTTTGCACATAGTACACTAGTTTTACCTTTATAAAACTTTAAATTTTATAAAAAAAAAATTATAACAAAAAAGAAACCCTGAACAACTCTCGCCTGAGCCGAGGTACGAATCCCTAGAGGTACCTACAGACTAAAGTTGTGTCAGATAGACGTTAATCAACCGCGATAAGTCTTTCAGCGGGTTTGAAATGCTCCCATATTGGTCGGTGAAGTTAAAGACCAGCTGCGGCCATTATAAAAAGCAACAGCCTTCAAATAATAAAAAAAACATACAAATAAAATAAAAATACTTTTTCTTCATTATCACACCATTATCGGTGTCGGTTTTCTGAATCTTGAGGAGCCATGCAATTCGCTGGTAAACATCGTCATTTGACAGACCCAACTTCTTCATGTACCTATGGACACTAGTCGGACAGTAGCTGCCTGCCTCCTCTTTTCATTGTAGCCATGGAGAGGCACTTCTTCCCTAAATAGTACATAGGTTTTCGAAAAAATATGTACCTGCCACCTAAGTCTGCACTCTTTGAGCTTTTTGGTACTCTCCGAAGCTGCCACGTACATGCTATTAAAATAAAAGTAGAGGAATAATAATCACCTGTTCCCTTGCGAGTTGTGCGGCCTGTTGCTGTGCAATAATTTGCATCATATGTTGTTGCTCTTTCATTTGCTCCAACTTCTTTTCTCGTTCCAGGCGCTGGATTTCGGCCAACGTAGGTCCATCCCTGTTGATGGCCTGCATGTTCTGGTTGGCTACCGATGACCACGGTGCCTTCTTTATCACAGGCTCCGCTGCTTGACGTTGATGCTGTTGTTCCTATAGACATAAATAGATAACGATTTCATTATATGCAACAAGCGAGTAATTTTTGTTTAGAAATTAATAGCCTCCACCTAACTGTTTACAGTATTATATAACAGTTGAAATTGAATTCAACGAATTTGTGTTAACGTCAGCGGAGTGTCATTCAGAAATATAAAGTGAAAATATTTTTCGCCAGCTAGATTTTATTTTTTCTTTTTTAATTTAATGATAATTTACTTTAATAAGTAGGAATGAATTCAAATATATAAACATCAATGTTTATATGTACATACAACGATCAGTTTTGAACTGAGAAATATTAGAGAAACACTATTGTTGGGGAACTTTATCAATATTAGGTACAGAACCATTTTTTTTTTAATTTGTTCGTATGTTTGTGTGGGCTCATCTCCAACGTTTCCATTTGAGTGTGCTTTTCACATCAAATGTTGTCGGGAAAAGTCGCTGTTTCAACTAGTTTTATGCTACATTGCAGTGTATAAAATCCATAAAAAACATCGTGTCATTACCTGTTGTTTCTTGTGAGCATCAGCGTTCCTCTTTTTTTTTAATTCTTCCTCACCTGTCTTGTCATCTTCTTTCCTATTGTAGAATATTTAAATTGTATTTTAATAATTTTAATAGTAATTTTAAACATTTCTTTTGTATTGTGTTAACCATAATTATAATAACTTTCCATACTTAATAATACTTACTTTTTACGCTCAGTCTCATCGACTGCTTTCGCCTCTTCAGCCTTCTTTTTATCCTTGTTGTGTGATTTTTCTGATCCCTTGACCAGTGTAAACCCATCCATGATCCACTCCTACAAGGAATTACACGCATTTAGATATTAATAAGAGAGATATAGAGAAACATTATAGAATAGATCTACGTTAAATAATAACGTATAAATACCACCTACTGAAATAAAAGTAGTGTAAGAAATAAAATGAAATTCTGAATAAAAATAAACTTTTCATATTAAATTGAAAACACGACCGCGTAGTTTGTATAGGGGTTTTAAAAATGGTTTTCACTTGGTTTCTTTACAAAGTCTTCTTTACAAAGTTGTTTCATTGCATAAATACCGTCACATAATTTCTGCTTGAAATACTCTTTAAAACTGTTTATATGTGTATACATGTTACGATGTATATACATGTATGCATGTTATTCGTATTACATTTGATGAAAACTAACTTATGTTGTATATTATAACACATCATTATTTCTGAAACTAGTAAAAAAAAAACGAGATAACCTATTTTAAAATAGGAGTGGGTATGTAAAGTTAATAAATAGCAGTAAAAAATCATGAATACCCACCTTTTTCTCCTTTTCTAGATCCTTTTTATTTAATTTTTCTTCTTTTTTGTTTTTGTTAGGCGATCGCTCCTCCGATCTTTTCTGTAGGGAAATGCATTTATATTAAATAATACTCACACTCACAAAGTCTGCGTGGATACATCTGTAGAGCTATTTCTGACACCAGCACTACCATCTGCAGATTGCTTTCGTAGTGGTAAAGCATTAAGCAGATGGTTTACAAGCTGTGTTTTGGTTGAAGTGTAAATTATGTCAGAGAAATTATATGATATGATAGCAAAACAGTCGCTGAAAAACGATGAAAAATGGGGGACATCATATGACGTGATGTCCATGTTGCTATTCAAGTAACAGCACCGGCGACGATTACCACTTACCATAAAGTGGACTGTCACCTTATTTACCAATATAAACATTAAGTACAAACCTCAATTTTCACAGTGTCTTCCTCTTTCCTAATATCACAATCCTCTTTCTTTTCTTCTTTGGACTTCTTCACTTTGCTTTTAGTGGCGTTATCTTTATTCTTAGCCCTTTCAGAATCGTTTTTGGCTTGTTTCGGTTTGGCCTCAGCGGCCGGTTTGCTTTGGGTTGGCTGCGGTTTGGCGACAGGTTCAGCAGCGGGTGGATCCACCTTGGCAGGCTTTTCAGGTTTTGGAGGAACCTATTAAACCAAAATAACATTTATTTATGTTATTTTGGACAATTAATATGCAGTTTAAAGTTTAAAGTCGATATTTTCTTTTATTCTTCTTGGTACACCTGTACAAAGTCATTTAAGTGGATACTTTTTTCACTCCCATTTCTGCCGTTATACTGTTTGCTTTATAAGCTGTTTACTTTGATGGTATTTGATACAGTTACAGGGTAGGGACAGAAAGAGGCATGACCCCGTGCTTTTCAAAGTTCACAATACAATTATCGGGGGCTGTCGTGACTGCATGATAGCTGTAATGCTATATGATAGTTGATACTTTCCATCGAGAAATTTGTAATAACTTTGATCAAAGTTATAGAAATAGCAGAATATTTTAAGTAATATAAGTTCAGTTTCAGGGAAATATATCGTTCTGTCACTGTGTAAGTTTCTGAACACTACTAAGAAATAAATTTCGTTGTGTGAATTGTCCTGGTCATTTGGGGCCAGTCCCAAGCTAAGTGCTTGTATTATGGCTACTAACTAGATAATTAATAGATATACCTAGATGCACATTGTTTATAAATACATATATAATATAATAACCAATACAAACAATTATCGTCTAGAATACAAATTGAACATTGCGAGGAATCGAACTCGCGACTATCGGAAGGCGGAAAATTGTAAGTTAATATTAATAAAATATATTACCGGCATTTCTTTTGGCACGATGTTCTCCACAACAGCGGGTTTGATTAATGTATCTTTATCGTACATCAGCTTTTGCAGCTCTTCCAGATTAGGCGTTGCGCTCTCCGTAGCGGGAAAAGGATTCGTGGATGTCAGCGTTGGTAACGGCTGATCGTTGATGAACGAAATGTTTGGCTGCGAGCTCATGTTCTGCGTTCCACGAATCTGAGCCAGGATCTCGTCTTCCGTCTTCATTTCTTTGACGATATCCTCGGGAATCAACGAGTTTGATGCAACAGCGTTGGGCTGTAAGTTTATTATTTAGTGATGATTTTTTCTAAAAATGTATGGAATTCGTAAAACACACCTTAAATACACAAATTTATGAGCGCAAACAAAATGAAACATTTTTTATAAAAAATAGTAAAAAATTGTCAGTACTACTTTTTTACCCTTATATTTAAGATAACATTGATAATTGCCACATACATATTAAAGTACATGAATTTTACTAGCTTTCATATTAATTATAAATACCCTCAGTTCACACAAGCATACTCGAATATGAATTAAAAGCCGAGTGTTCAGTAAAATACACCTTATTGAGTGAGTTGTTTTTAACTGAGAAATATTTATAATTTTGGTGAGGAAAGTATGAATATTTATAAATGGTTATAAAAATTCATATAGTCAGTATAAATGAATATGAGGTTCTGTGAGAAGAGACATAGTAATAAAATGAAATAGTAATATGAAAATGTGTCACCCACACCCAAGCTAAGCAGAAATTATACAAACGAACTCATTAATTATTATTTCTATCAGTTATTTATCATTTTATTTTCATTACATCTCTCCACAGTTGAGTCCATCACTCAAATGTACATTCTTGTAACTCCTGCTTTTTTCCCGTTTACTTTCTCTGTTTCTCGTTTCTACTCTTATCTACTTCCTTTCAACACACCGTTCTGGTTCATGCATTATTCTATCAAATTCTATCAGCCACTAACATACTAGGTATGTTGGGAAAAACAAAGTATTTTTTACACAAATATTTGTCTCATTTTAATCAGTATGACAAACTAAAAATTTTAAATATATGTAAACCACATGTTAAAAACTTATGCTCTGGATGTCTGTTGTTACACAGACTTATCAAATTTACATAGACATCCAGACCAATACCTATGTATTCTAGTTTTGAAAGCACTTCACAAGAATTTGCTGTATTTTCTATTAGTTCTAGTTATTTTCTACCAATGATTATTATATACATTTCCTATAACTTTCTTTCCATACTGATATGCCTAGCACATCCTAGTTACGCCAAATAAAGATTCAACGATACTCGAACGAATTTTAGTATATATAGTAGTAACCTACTGCTTAAAAAAATAAAGTAGTAAGTTAAGGCAATGCTTTATAGCGTCGTGGTTTAGTAGTTTACAGCCCTGATTAGAAAAAAATAGTGTTATTTTGTATTTATAAATAACTCTATGCCAAAATAAATAACGTTAAATTTTAAAACAATCCAAGAGACGGCGGTTGGTATGGTCTTGGCACGCTTGTTTAAATATACCTAGTGAAATGTAGCAAACGTTCATCGCGATATCGACAGTTCACAATACGTCTCGTAATCAACTACCACATCTGAATAACAATCCTGACGGCAAGTTATACATACGTTGTAAAGTTTAATTATAGACAAGATTCCTTTAAATATCGATATAGAACTACTGAAAGTATTCAAACTTGCGAAATACAACTCTTGCGCCGGGAGCTGCAGTGTTCGTCATTTGTTTTATATGTAGCTGGAATATCAAATTAGCTGACACCCTCAAAGTAATCCTAAGAACATTAATCATAGGTTTCTCATGTTACCGTTGAGTTGCATTAACATTTCTAAGAATTGTGGTGTGATAACACCGTACAGTGGAATTTTACTACCACACCGTTCTTTAAACCAAAACAGCTTACGTAGGAAGTCGCTTGGTAGCGGAAATAGACGAGACAATGGTACCTCTATATTTTAACTCTACAGATAGGCGCTATTTTTGCCAGATATATGACATTATTTATAACTGAGCATGACCTAGACCTAAATCAAAGCTAGTGGATTCTAATAAAAATAAAATTAAAATCAATCGATGTTACACGCGGCCGAATGCACCCAGCGAAATTAAAAATATGACCATGACGTTTTACTGCTGATAAGTCTTTACGGTAGATATTGGTATACATATGTATATGTGCATATATATCACTACACAATTTATAGAAATCGTATAGTAGTCTAATCATAATTAAGTAACAGACAACTGTTTACTTAAATAGAAGATGTACCTGAATGTATACTTACAAATAAATGGGGCTTTCTCCGTGGACCTCCTGGGGTGCACAACTAGTTTTATACATATGTATTTTTAATATTATTTAACGGGAATTGCAAACAAGTTGAGCACCAAGGACATACGTCATGCGACTCCCCTAGCTTAATGCAATTCCTGAGAACTAGGGTGTCATGGCTGTGAACCCTGCAATTTCATGGCCATATCTCACTCGTCTTGTCAAACCGGACAGTTTAGCACCAAAGCCGATTGGCACCCAAAAAGATGAGACAGACAACCCAAACAGGTGGCTTTGTACAAAAGCTACCTTCGTACTACGACATAAATTAAGTTCATGTGTATAGATACAACTAAAATATTTAAGATGTTTGTCACTACCAAGTTGATTTTAGAGAAATTTCAAGAAAACCAAAGCAAAGCTAAGCAAGCAATTAGGTGTGTGTGCATCAAGTGAATTAGCACTAAATATAGGTTAATCTTATATTACGTACATTTAGGTGCAATTAAGTGGTTTTAGTGTAATTAGATTAAATTAATAATTAAAATTAGCTATAATACTGGCGAAGCTTTAAGACCGAAATGATTTGCTATTTGAAGTATTTATGTACCACTACCATTTGTCTTGTTTTCAATAATTTTATTGCTTACCCTAGGAAAGTACATTAAATATAAATTTTATAATGGCCCAATTAAGATATAACTTAAGATTTAATAACGTCAATCATGATGAAGTTGGAGAAAAAATAATTAAAATCGAAAGATATTTTGACAATAGGAATGGTTATAGTAGAGGCATTGTGGTTTTGGTAATTACGTCGAATATTATCAGGACAGAGGCTCTTTTTTGTTTTAAGCAGCTAAGAGTGACATAGAAAATATATTTGTTACTTATGTCGTCAGTAGTAAATAGAAAACTGTATTTATTCCCCTTTTTTGTTCTGTGCCCGTTAACACTACATTACTACTTGCTACTCTTAATGGTAAAAAAGAAACTATAATATTTAACATAAAGATATATATTTATTGAAAGAAAATATCAAAACATATAAAAGGCCCAATCATAAAAACCTGCCAACAATAATGTTCATTTCAGATGAAAGTTGTGTTGTAACAATAGATATCAGAGATTACAACACAAAATATGATAATCAACAGCCTAAGAACTACAGATGTTACATCAGGATCAGAATAATAACTAAAACTAAAGACACGAACAAAATAACAACTAGGTAATTGTATACATACGGACAAAAATAAAACTAAAAATAATACAAGTATTATATAAAGAAAACCAAATTTTTTTATTAAATTGTTAAATATATTAACTTAACAATGACAGAGGAAATAGGAGAAACTAAGAATTGAAAAGGATAATTAACCAATAACAAAAGTAGTATTAGAAAATACTCGTGTAACTAATAATTAAATTATAATCTTTAATATATATGATTCTCGCCTAAACTCCATTTATAACACACATAATTTTTCCAGATAACATATATGATACTAATTTATCTTTCAAAGTTTATTAAGGCTATTATTTTAAAACACGGATAAGCAGCACATTTAACTATTCCTTTAAGTATACATATAATTATCCAGAAAACAACATGAACTACAAAATATATTCTTCATAGTCCGAATTTACACCCCTCAATGTTTCGAACAATTGTCGGTAATGGGAGTAGCGATGCGACGTGTAGCTTAGTTTTAATTTATATGACATGATAATTTGCAAGTCTAGAAATGCAATAGGATTTAGTAATTAAAGTTTATTACAATTTTATTAAATCCTATAGGTTAACAAACTTGGCCTAAGATACGAAAATTGATTAAATAAATTTGATAATTAATATAGTAATTAATTACTATAAAATAAACTGCGAGTCTGACGAATTTAAAATAATCTAGTACATTATTATTCATGTTTCCAGATTGATATCATAGAATTAACATTTGAATTTCATAAATAGATATTGAACTTGCATAAATTTTAATTGAATTAATATAATAATTATCATTATCATATATTTTAAGTTAACCTCATAAGCTGATCCTTTACACGGTATATTATTACACACACGATCAAAAGCGCGCGCGATTTTGCGCGGAAAAGTGAGCGCGAGCAACAGTGTGCAATTACAAATTAGTATTTTTTGTATTACTCGTCTCGTTGTCTACATTTACATACACTTTCTTTCCTCCGTGAAAGCTGATTCCTGACTGAAAGAGCGTACGTGTAAAGGCAGCTATAAACGTCGCAGCGCCATCCCGCTGCGCTAGCAATGAAGCGATACCACATAAATTTAATTTACATGCATATCCTGCTGTTATAACATTTTTCTCAGTTTCTGATTACTGTTACACAACACCCATACGTTCCTATATTACTAATTACATCAGCATAATAGGAGAACAGTCTATATATTGTAACTAATATAATACCAAATATTACTTAGACACACTAAAAGAAAAACATTGACAGAATGTTTACGAAGTTTAAGTTTAAATTACGACCTACTAAGTTTATACGTAGTTAATTAATAACATCCTTAACAAACAAAATGTTTCCAATGTCTATATATTGATAGATCATACACTAAATGGTTCAGAATGTAACCACTGGAAGAAAACAGTAAGCATGCACTATTTTACAATGTTTATACAACATTAACACACATAATAGTTTTACAAGTACTACCAATAAGTTACAAACATTAAAAATACTATGTATCGTGTCACGTGATTAAAAACTTGTTGTACCTAACATTGAATAATACAATCACTTGAGAAGACTAAGATTAACATCAATTTTTAAATTCTGGATAAGTTAATCTATGAGTCTATTCGTAAACGTGAGAGGATGAACATCTATATTACGTATTTTTTTTTTATTATAGAATTCTTCAGCATCCTCATCATTCAATACAAATGCGCTCATATATAGCCGTCTTGAAA